TGAGATCTTTTAAGATAGTCCGTTTCGCCTGTTATCCCCAGACGAATCATCATTGTCTCGCCAACTCCATGCCTGCTGAGATACACTCGTCATCCGGGCAGTTGATTAGGGCGGTCGTCAACGGGCCGCAGACGCGGCTGCAGCAGCGACCGCGTGCGTAGGAACTATTTGCTTTTTCCGGCCTAATTTAGTCATTTCTCCCTACTTTTCACTGTTTTTGGCTGCTTTTTTCAAGGTTAGCTTCCTTGTCTTCACAAGGTAAATTATGATTGAGATTTTTCTAACTTTTGCGAACAATTAAACGACTTAAACAAACAATTAAACAAATACCTAAAAAATCGCTGGAAACACTCTATTACAAGAACAAAAAAAAGAACTCACGTCTCAGTATATTTCATACATATAGATGTTAACGCAACTCGCTCTGAAAAAAAAGAAAATACAGTGAAAATTAGGGAGAAAATTGCTAAATTAGGCTGGAAACAGCTGATCGCCGCGGTCGTGACGCGCCGCAGCCGCGTCGCGACCCTTTGGCCGGCTAATCAGCTGTCCGGATGACGACTGCATCTGCGATACGGCGTCCCCGGCAAATTGGCTACTATTTGTTGCAACGTGGGCGTTCCAAAGAGTAGAGGCGTCCTGGAGGTTCTACCCCAGGCTCCCTTTACACACTATTTCCTTCAACGGCACTATTTACCCTTTACTGCCCCAACAATCCCGAATTGAGCCAGTTTCTGACCGACTTTTTTCTCCGTGGACAGATTTGGCTCAAATGTTGTCTCCTGGGGTATTTTGACCTCCTGAATACGAATATGACATTCACATAGCCCGAAACCTCCTGGCGCCTGCGCCACAGGCGCCGGTGATCTGAGGTATTTTGGCGCCAGCACCTGTAGCGCGGGCGGCAGGAGGTTTTGCGCCGAGCGGATGTGATATTCGTGATCAGGGGGTCAAACCACCCCTGGGAGCAAGTTTTCAACGAATTTGGCGATTTAAACTATCGCCGGCGCCCGTGGCGCGGGCGCCAGGAGGTTTCGGGTTATGCGAATGTCATATTCGTATTCAGGAGGTCAAAATACCTCAGGTCACCGGCGCCTGTGGCGCAGGCGCCAGGAGGTTTCGGGCTAAGCGAATGTCATATTCGTATTCAGGAGGTCAAAATACCCCAGGAGACAACA